CACCATGCAAACACACAGTTAGTAACACCTTATCCATACGCTGCAAACACACACTATGAATACTGTGTTATCCACATTTGACACAGTGGCTCAGTCATGCATACACTGGAGCCCCACGTGTGCGTGTGAAACAGCTTCTCGCCCCCGACCAGCGAGCGCAAACAATGCTAACGACTCACAATGTTGCTAACGTCCGGCGAGGCTCCGTTCTGCAGCAGCAGCAGGACGATGTTCAGGTGGCCCATGAAAGCTGCCACGTGGATGGGGGTGAGGCCCGACTGCGGGGGGCAGCAGCACGTTAGCCTCAGCGGAACCACGCTTCCAGACCCCCTCCCAGGGCGGGGCTGCCTTACCTCTGTGATAGCCTGGATGGAGGCTCCGTATTTCACAAGCAGCTCCATCACCTTCACACGATTCTTTTTACAGGCAATGTGCAGGGGGGTGAAGCCATTCTATGTGGGGGGCACAGTGACCATCAAACAGATCCCCCCCCCTTTCCAATACATTCCATAAACCCAGGGTGACCTCTAGGTGTGACCTAAACCCGCACCAACAATCAACAATCACGTTTGGGTGCGTCACAGCTGACTCAAGTAACACTGCACTGACTTTCATTATTTATCCTTTCAAAGACAGTTAGACTGCTTGTCACTCCATAGCAGGGCTAAGACTAGTGGCTGAAACACTCATCTACAAGAATCCAACCGACTCTAACTTTGACCATTTTCAGTTGTCTAATAACAACACAGCTGCAGTAAAACTTGAACAGGTCTACAAAGAAGAAATAACTGTCAAACATGGTGTTTAAGATACAAAGACACCCAGGTCTCCTGCAGGATTTGCAGTTATTAGTTCACTGCTGTAAAGCTGGTTTGACGTAATCCCCCTCCGGCCAGGCAGACGCACCAGGGCGCGGGCGTTGGGGTTGGCCCGCTTGTCCAGCAGCAGCTTGGTGACACGGTAGTGGCCGCAGTGTGCTGCCACGTGCAGTGCTGTCAGGTAGTCCAATGTGACATCATCCACCGGCGCCTTGTGCTGCAACAGGTGCTTGACACACTCGACATGGTCTCCCTGGGCTGCCATGTGCAAGGGAGACAGCCCATTCTGTGGGGGAGGGGATGAAGAGAACGTGGGCCACTGGAAGTCAGCAACAAGCTATATAGAGAATGGAAAACTGCACACTGCACAATAAATGTACACTGTACCCTACACTGCATGCTACACTGGAGGCCAAATGTACACTACATAGCATGTGTGTGTGTGCCCAGGCAGGGTGCCGCAGTACCTTGGTCCTGGCTAGCATGGGTGCCCCTCTCTCCAGGAGCAGCTCCACAGCTGGATCGTGCCCACTGCGGGCCGCGCAGTGCAGTGGGGTGAGGCCATCCTGGAAGGAGAAAACACACACACACAGAAATCAGAACGCAGCTGAGATGAGCACAAGCATAGTAAGTCACATGGGTATGTGTTCAAAGCCCTTAGCAGAGACTATAATATGTGGCATGCTGATTCAGGCTGGCCAACATGTCTGACACATAGTACAGATCTTCTGGAAAGCTCATGGCCCCCCCATTATTCTGGAAAAATGCCGAGGGCACTCACCCGGGTCTTGGCGTCGATCTGGGCTCCTCGGTCCAGCAGGAGGCGCACCATGTTGGCATTTCCTCGCTTGGAGGCCACGTGCAGGGGAGTGATCCCGTTCTGCAGAGGAGGGGCATTACTGACATCACAACCACAGAAAGCCCAACTCGCTCCCAGTACCATCCCAGTAAGGTCATAGCGAAAGGGTATGGCTAACCCCAAAGTTATCCCAAGAGAGAACAGGAGGGGGAAAAGGAGAACAAACTGTGCCTGTAAGCTTAAACCAGGAAGAATATCTGGGTCTGAGGGAGATCCACACGGCAAGTTACACTTCAGGACGTGTGATGTGTTCATTGAGCTCTTGTGTACTGTTACTGAGAATAATTAAAAGCTGATTTCTCAGCTGGACTCTGGGGTCACTAAGGGCTCCACTGGCTAACATTTTGCTCACGATGTGCAACGGCGCTGCTGCGTTTGCAGTGAAAACTGCCTTATGGAACGACGGCCGCCGCAGCCGGGGTGGCCCTTTGGTGACAAAAAGCTGGTGGCGGGGGCGTGATCCTGAGTCAGCAGAGAGACTCGGCACGGGGGTGGCCACAAAGCATGACTCAGCGGCGAGGCTGAGCGAGCAAACGGCACGAGTTAAAGGAGAGAAGTGAAATGAGGCATCCTGCTGTGATGCCCTGTAGGGGAAGCGAGGTGCAGGGGAGCACGGACCCCGGCAGTGCAGAACCAAGCAAATTGGGCCCCGACAGGGCCGACAAAACCCCCGACCTGTAACCAGACTCATAGATCGCCGAAAGGAGGCAGCATCTACTGCTGGGACAACCAGCAGGGGGCAATGTGATTATACTGTTTTAAAATGTCATTTTATTATCGATTTTCATTTAAAATCCAGTTTAGTTTAGTTAGTTTTCAGTATTGTTTAATTAATTTTAATTTAAAAGATATGTTTCTATTTAGTTTTTATATGGTTTAGTTTCAGTAATTATATTTGCAGAGACAGATCTATTTTTTTGTGTCTGATCTTTAGAGAATGAAACATGATCAGGTATTATTAATGAAATTTAAAGATAAATAATTACTGTAGCTAAAAAGTATTTAAAAATGTTAGACACTGTATGACATTCGCTTTTATTTTGTTTCAGTTAGTTTCGGAAGCGATATTCATAGTTGTTGTTTAGTTGTAACTTTTAATTTTATTTTGGCATCTTGTTGCATTCTAGTTTATGAAAATGTTTTCTTGTAGTTTTCGCTCGTGTTAATGATGGTGGTACCCTAGCAGAGGAGTGGGGGGGCACAGTGAGGGACGTACCCGGGCGGTGAAGTCGACAGCGGCCCCTCGGTTCAGCAGCAGCGTGGCCACGTTGACGTTGCCGTAGTGAGCGGCGATGTGCAGCGGGGTGAACCCGCTCTGTAACACACAGGATGGGGGGGTGGCGGCACAGTCAGAAGAGACCCCGCCCTCGCAGCAGCCAATCAGCAGCCAGTGACACCCCCCCGCATGCAGCACTCGCATGGAGCATCACAGACCGCAAATGGGAAGGCAAAGGAAAGCAGTCTTCTGGATGTCGGCGCTCAGAGACTCGAGGATCGACAGAAAGTGGACACACGCACACACACACACACACACACGCACATGTAGGGTAAACATATCCTTATGGGGACCGCTCATTCATTTCAATGGGAAAAATGCTAACGCTAACTATGACAACCTTAACCCCTACCCAGCCCTAACCATAACCATAAGTAACCTAACAAAATACAAGAGTTTTTGCATTTTTAGTTTTTTCATAGCAGTCACCGATTTTTATACAGTAGAGTTTTCCCTTATGGGGACCAGGAAACCGGTCCCCATAAAGGAAAAAAAAACGGATATTTATCACGTTATGGGAACATTATGTCCCCATAAGGATAGGTAAACCCGCTCGCACAAACACACACATGCACACGCACACGCACACAGGTACACACACGCGCACACACACACACGGCACAAGACAGACATCGCCATGCAACAGACTGTAATCCTACAATCAGAGGGGAAAATAATCTCCATTCTGTATAAGTACTCAACACAGACACAAGACAGGACCAGGACGCAATGGCACTAACATCTTCTAAGGGAAGGGGGAGGGGTGTAAGATCGGTTAATACAGACACGGGGGGGTGGAGTAGACAGAAAGACGTCCAAGTAACCAATCAACCAACATGGAAAGTGCACTATTTCACTATATGTCATATCAGTTATCAGGTTAGCTTCATAACAACTTATATAAATAAATCAGAGCAGTTTAGGGAAAATATTTTTCCTTACCTTTCCATTCTGACAGACACGGTCCGATTTAATATGAAAACATCGTTTACAAAAATGTGAAGAATACTGTGACCATGATATGACTCAAGGTACATATTAAGAGTAAAGTAGGGCAACACTGCATGCTCTGTAGAGGAGTGTCAAAGGCAGGTTGAAACACGACCTGACCGGGCTGTTCATGGTTACTAACCCGTCTTTCTGTAAAGGCCGGTTACGATCAATACCTACACTATACAGTAATTACAGAGGATCGATCGTATAATCATCTGTTACATCGTTATTATATATTTATATATAACTGCATTAACAATTGTATATATAAATATATGTAATGAATGTTCAGTCAGGATGTAAATGGAAACCTTGTAATTACTCATTAAGAGATTGTAATTACGGATTTAGAGAGCTCTGCCTTTTCTACTGAGAAAGACTTGCTATTTTGCTCCTGTTAGTTTTATTGATGTATGTTTGCTCGTCTTCCCTGCACCCCGATTAATTGTCCCTTTGTTTGCCTCTGAGGCTGTGGAGACGAGGCACATTTAACAGTAAATGGAAACTAGAACGAAAACTTAAAACAAAAACAGACGAAAGACGAAAACATTAACATGCGCTTGTTTGGGGCATTTCCCATGATCCTTCTCTGCCTCAGAGACGTGTAACACGCCGTGTGGTCTGTAGAGACGCACAGCAAACAAAAACTAGAACAATAAAGGAAAACAAAACAGACGTGGTTCTTCTGACATTTCCCACAATCCTTTGCTGTGAGCCCTTATCTGGAGTGCAAATGCTACTTCAGAAGCTTACGTCACATTTACTAGCCTGTTTCAGGCTGTGATTAGACGACAGCTGACGATCTGGTGGGACCACAAAGCTCACTGAGGCAGACTTTGCTTTTATGGAGCCGAGGAACGGCGGAGACATCAATAAAACTGCAGGAAGCCAAACGTGAACATTCATGAAGGTGCGACGGACAGAGACGTGCCACCGTGAGAGACGTGCGGAGACACAGCGCGGGCGCCACGAGGCGGCGCAGTGCGGCAGGCGTGCAAGCGAGCAGCGGAGGGACGGGCAGGCCATGCAGGCAGACACGATGGAAGACACAGGAAGCGGCCTGGGGCCGCTGGTGACGAGCCGGCATGCAGCGATGGGATGGACACGGCGGACGTGGAGGCCGGATTTAAGGGTATGTACCTCAGTAGTCCTATTGACCATCATCTGCTCGAGCAGCAATGAGAAGGGGGAGAGCTTAGTTATGCCATGTGACACACCGGAACACATCCCCCCCATACCGGTCCACGGGGCTCCTAGGGTGGTGTGCTTTTCGCAGTGGGGGGAGGGGGGGCATCTTCCAGCCAGATGCACACAGGAAGGCCCTGCAATCAAGTACCTGACCAGGAACACATCACTACCATCTTCAGAAAAGCTTTCTATCTAAAATAATTCATATTTATTTATTATTATGGCTATCACCAGCGATATATAAACTCACACAGCCATAGGACTCTAGGTGGTTAATTCTTTATTATTTATTTTTCATGACAAGTATGTTTCACCATTACCACCTACAAGTGGTAGCAACAAGTGGCAGCAGATAACTAAGATTAATTAGATACAGATGTGCTGCAAATAGAGGAGAAATGGTTATGCAAATGCTGATTTATTTACTTTTGTCTTGACCTGAGTAACTGAAGAGCGAAACCCAATATAGCAGCATTTCAAGCGCTGACACTCTGGTCAGTGTGTGGATCACGCTGTGCTGGGAAGACAGGCCCGCTCCTGTAGCACCCCACTCTAATGAGAGCCCACCCCGGCCCCCCCACGGCCCTGAGCACCCCGCCCCCACCACAGGCATGCAAACACGGAGGCAGAGCCAGTTACACGCACAGCCCGTTAAAACCGGGGGAGAAGAGGGGAGCTCCATGCCGCAGTATTAAAACGCTGGGGGAGGAAAGCAACACCGAGAGCACAGCTCATGCGGGTTGCCATGGGAACGGGGAGGCGGGGCAGGGGGCGGGGTTAACCCAGTTAGAGGAAAAAAAAACAGACAAATAAACAGAGAGAGCGGCAGGCTGCTGGGGGGCTAACGCAGGAGGTAGCGTGTTTACCATCCGAGACCCGGATACGAGCCCGAAGGCAGGCCGCCGCATGCCAGACGGCCGGGACACTCACAGAGAGGGCACCCACAGCCCAGAAGCAGGCCCTCACCTTGGACTGCACGTCTGCGTTGTGGTCATTCTGTAGCAGGAGGGCGGCGGACTTGGTGTCATCCTTGCGGGCAGCGATATGCAGGGCGGGCAGCCGCACTTTGCCCTTGGTGTCGTTCTCCAGCAGGATGGACACCACCTGGTTGTGGCCTTGCTGGAGGGCTATGGCTAGGGGGGTGAAGCCATCCTGCGGTAGACAGGGGCAGGGGTACGGTCACATCCTGCCCATATCGCAGTCTTCCAGAAACACACAGGGTACCATTAACTCCTCTGCAGCCAGACTTATTAGACCAATAAAGTGACATATCGAGCATCCCGGAATACTCCATAAAGGAAGATGGCCAGTCCCACCTAAGGAGCATCACAGAATGTTCCAGACAGGGAGAAGGCCAGTCCCCTCTAACGAGCGTCCTGGAATGCTCCGGAAAGGCAGACGGCTGGGGCCTGGCTACGCTGCTCACCTCAGTAGCGGTACTCTGGTTGGCGCCGTTCTCCAGCAGATATCGCACCACGTTCAGGTGGTTCTCCTGGGCAGCCATGTACAGCGGGGTGAAGCCATTCTGCAGGGACGGCGTCCATCATGTTCAGGTCAGTGGGAGGCGAATGAATGTGGTCAGCAAAGCTATATACTGTAGTGCAGCTTGGGCAGTCTGACCAAACCTACGATCCAGCCTCTGCAGGTAGAGTAACGTAGGTGCTCAGACAGTTACGTGCTTAGAGGGCGCATCGGTCTCACCTGCGACTGCGCATTGATATCAGCGCCCCGCTTAACCAGAATCTTGACCACGTCACCTTGTCCTGCCAGGGAGGCAATGTGGAGGGCTGTGTTTCCTTTCTGTCCGGGGCACAACACACACAATGTGAGATGACTGCCTACCACCCAGTATCTGTCACCCGTGGGGTGATGTGTATGGCTCAGTGTGTATGTACTGTATGTGTCTGTGTCTCTGGCCCTTTTTACTTAAAAGCTTGCAGCAGAAAAGGCACCAAAACACCCAGCCCCTCTTCCATTACCTTAGTGGCTGAATCCACCGCAGATCCCCTGTCCAGTAGCTCCTGGACAAGCTCCACATGGCCCTCCTTGGCAGCCAGGTGCAGGGCATTGAGCCCATTCTGGAAGAGAGGCACAGGGGATAAGGAGAGGCCCGGGGGATAAAGGGAGGCACGGGAAATAAAGGGAGGCACTGGGGATAAAGAGAGGCACGGGGGATAAAGGGAGACATGGGGGATAAAGAGAGGTATGGGGGATAAAGGGAGGCACGGGGGATAAAGGGAGGCATGGGGGATAAAGAGAGGTATGGGGAATAAAGGGAGGCCCGGGAGATAAAGGGAGGCACGGGGGATAAAGGGAGGCACGGGGACACAGGGACAAGCACACAAGTGGACACCTATATCCGGCCCGTCCCACCTGAGGGGATCCGGCTTTCTCAAGTCTCACTCCTCATGACTATGATGCAAACCGCTTCATCATCAAAGGAAATGGGGCCCCCATCAGGAGGAAACAAGTATCACAACAGGAAGTTGTGGCCACCTCGACGGTTCATATGATTGGCTGGGATTTTGGAACATTAATCTAACGAAGCAGAGCACAGAGCACAGATGCACCCATCTATATACACATGATGTCCTACAGTTTGTAGGAATAGAAAGAGCAAGAACATTACAAATGGAGAGCTTCTTGTCGGTTGGATTCATCTCCTGAACCCATTACGCAATTTATAGTCATCTCTGACTGCGACGACGGGACTATTTGCATCCTCACGCTTCCGCAATAAGTGAAAATGTAAGTAAATGAAAATCAACAGAAACACAATAGAGCTGCAGAGATTAAATGGCAATAGCACTCTTAGAGGATTATGGGGGAATATGGAGCCCGAGTGCAGTTTAATTCCCATGTCGCGCCCGCCCACACCTCCGAGCTGCAGCGTTTCCATTAGTCATTTGACAAGCCTGTCACATCTTCTGACTCTGTATTGGCTAAAAACAGAACATACAAACAGCATCTCTGTTATGACTATGTAAATGCGCCTTTTTCTTATATAAACATTAAGAAAATTCACCCATACATTCCATATCTGCCAACCCCGTACAGGGTATTTTTTTACCACTACAACTTCAATACAAGTTAAAAAAATTTAACTATATCTATTAAAAGAACATTACCCACATATACGTAGAAGAGAAACTGTGGACATGGTCCACTTTATGGCTCTCTTCTTCTGATTCTGCCTCGTCTCAGCAGGGACCTCACAGGAGAGATTCAGGTCAGCCTAGGTGGTGCTGTGCTCGTTTCTGCTTACAAGGCTCTCAGATCTCTAAACATGCTCCTGAGCAGTGAGCAATCAGCCAAAGGCGGGACACTCTGCAGCGGTCAGCATATCACCAGGAAGACCAGACCTTCACCCCGCCGCCAAGGACAGCCGGGATGAGGACAGACATCCCTCAAGTGCTGTGCAGAATTCCTGTTTTTGTCGCTGGTATTTTGAGTAACAAACACTGGATTTTAAAATAGCGTTTAATTTCAGATATCTCGTATTGCGCTATATTCACCAGCTGCTTTGTAACCTACTTACAGCTTAGCTAGTGCAATTATCCTTTTGCGAGACATGAGGAGAACAGCGATGGAGATAATTCACAGCCGTTCCGTACAATGAAACATTATCAATAACGAACAAATGCGGTTCTCGGTGGTCGTTCGTTTGAACAAACGGTTCTGACGTCCTGCGTGTTCCTCATTTACCACTCAGACGTTCCGCCAGCCTATTTTTACCCTCCTGGCTGCCAAGCGAGTCACATGGCAATGTGATCACGGGGCAGCATGCCACCCGAGCCCCCCCCCGGCACGGGCCTCGGCCAAACTGCTGTCAAATTCTGCTCCCTGCCCCTCCCCCACAACAAAAGTGACTTCACCAAGGTCGAAGGCTCCACTCTAGGGTTAGGCTGCCCCACAGCCCGGGGGAAGGAAACACCCCCCCCCCCCCCCCCGCCTCTGACACACGCCACTCAGTGGCCAGCTGCCAGGAATGTGAACCCAACACCAGCTACAGGATCTACTCAGTTTTTATAAGCAGACATTAACCAGTAGGACACAGTTATGTTTGAAGTATCAGCGGCCCCTTCTGTGGAGATCAGCATGACCGTGTCCACCTCATACACCAATCACCTTAAAGGGCGGCAGGGCTATCAGGACTGGCCACATTCTCAAAACGATTCATTTTTCTAGATAAAAATATTATGTCTAATAAAACCCTCCAACTGACCTGATAGTATGTTTATGCCCACAATATTAAAAGGACATCTTCTCTAATAGTGGCCTCCAGGAAACATATCTCAGGTTCCACATGACATTAAAATCTCCGCCTCTGCACATAAGAGGATGGGATCAAACACGCAGCTGAATCTGAGCCCAACCACCTGCGTGGCCGTGGGGGTCACTTTTCAGACAGAGAGGGCGACCGGTTGCACCCCCAACCTCAGAGTGGTGCCTGCCTGATTCACATCGAACAGCTGGTCTTCAAATCACTCTGATTCCAAAGGCTCCAGCAGATGCAGGAATTCCGATCGAAAGGGGATCACGGGCGCTGACAAGGAAGCAGACTAGACCCGACAGGTCACCGAGTGAGCAAGCCATAAGCCTAACCCTAAGCCTAACCCTAACACGCAGCAGCAGTTCATCTTCACCTGCCCACCCTGGTGACAGCAACTCAACTCAACCTAGAATTAATATCAAACCCAAGGTCAATTACCAGGCCGATTAATCTCCATTAGACAACGGGCATCTGTGACAGACACAATCTGCACTCCAGCAGGCAGAAGAAACCACCCTCCCCCAAGAACAACACAGTAAGAACAATCAGGTTAGACCTCCAGTAAGATGGATCACTGAAGATCCATTTGCTTTCTCTTTAATAGGGTTTGTGTGAGCGAACAGGATTCTGGGTAAGCAGCCTGATTTCAGAAAATCTCTACAATCAACCATGAAAGGTCGACTATAACTTAGTTAATAATCTGATTTCAGACAATCTCTACAACCAACCACAATATGTCAAGCCCTAATTTGGTTAGTAGTCTGATTTCAGACAATCTCTACAGGCAACCATAATAAGTCAACAATAATTGACACATCACCCCATCCAGGGCATCCCCTGTCATACATCCCATGTTTCCTGGGATACACTACAGGCTTACCATAACCCTGTCCTGGAAAAGCTGCTATGCAAGGAGAAATGCACACCTTATTTCCCCTGACCCAAGCAGAAGAAAGGGATTAAGACCTGGAAGACTTCAACTTGCTGCTGTCATTATGAGTGATGGGGGACGTTTTGTACCAAGACATCCTCACCTGTTAGTACCAGGGCTGCAACTCTGACCACAGACCTGCTCTACAGGCTGCCATAGAGCAGCACTCCCTCCCTGGGCTCGATCCATTGTCGGAAAGAGCCTGGAATAGCCCTGGCTTCCCGAAAGTCCAGGAGGGGAGGAATAGCCGGGATGGTTTTGGGGTCATGTCCGCTGTGTCCTTTACAATCGGCTCCAGTCCCATTTCGGCCACAGTGTTGAACAAGAGAGTTGGAGGCAAGAAAAATAGAAGTGAAACAGGAGCTTCTGGACCATCTTCAGGTGGTGCACTTTGCAGCCACACATTCGTCACACACGGTGTGACCCCGTCCCAAGCACACCCCCACCAGCCACTGATGGAAGTCCTCATCCTGCAGTGTGTATTGCACATAAGCAACCTATCTTCTAACAGGTAGATATGGCTGGGGGGGGGCAGGGAGGCACACCATGGATATGGTGCGAGTGCATTTGTGCATCACAAACACACACACACACACACACACACACACACACACAAAGGTTTGTAATTATATTTTTGTGGGGACTCTCCATTCATTTCTTCATTTGTTACATTGTGGGGAACATTTGGTCCCCATAATATAATATAAACCTAATACACACACACACACACACAGCACGGGCAACAGTGCTACCAGCTTAGACACCATGAGACCCAAATACAGCCGCCTCCAGTAAAAATAAACAATTAAAAATAAAGGTGTAAATATTATAGAAACGGCGAGAGAAACAGAAGTGCGAGCACAGAGAAGATTTAACATGTGACACACAATCTACTTTTCCAGACCTTGTGACTGTTGTTAATCATCAGACTCACGCTGAGCCCAACTAGGTCGGGCCGGTCCGGCTGCTATCAGCTTTCAGGGGCTAGGCGGGGGAAGGGGTACTATGTTGACAGAGCTGGAGGCTGGTTCATGGGCCAGCCTTAACACTGCATGGTAACTCCCTTGCCGAATAGTGTGCTAATGATGGCACACGATGACGATGTCACAATGACAAATTGCTGATATGTAACCTGTTAGGGATCCGGGCAGATTTGGTGCAAGTCTGAGGCATGATGCAGGCAGATAGGAAGACGGACGACCCACTAGCGGCTTCATGGGACAACAAGGGTTTTTTTTTTTTAACAGAACTGAATACAGGGAAACAGTAAAAAACGAAATGAGACCACGAGCGGTCGAAACTAAAAAGGGGATAAAGTAAATAACAAAACTAACTACAAGGGGAAACAAGCAGAGAATCAAAAATAGCAGCAAGACTATCAGCAACAAACATCAACAATCACAATCAACAAACCACTAACAAACTGAACAGAGGTTGGGACTTAAATAGAGAGCCTAACAAGGGGCAGGTGAGATTAATCAACAAGGTTGGGAAAACAGGTCACAGGTGAAACTAATTAACTCAAAGGAACTACACAGGGCAACTAAGAATTAACCACGAAAACAGGAAAAACAGAATCTAACACTGGGAGTAACAAAACCAATGAAACATAACTAAGGCTCAAAAGAAGAAACCAAAACTGAATACAAAAATCACCAGACACAGGAACTAGAAAAACTCACACAAATGAAACACTAGGGAACAAAATACAAAAACAGAGGGGGCAGGATTCAAACATGCAATAGAGGGGATCACAGACAGCAGACAGGGAACAGGGGAAAACACAAAGACTGACAACACGAGGGACGGGATGACCAGCAACACCTGCTGGCCAAATGGGGAAGGGACACAGAGTGGGACAGGAGCTGACCCTAACACAACCCAAGTCAATCTATGTATGTACAAGTTTAAGCAAGGAGCAGAGGCTAAATACCAAGCACAGTTCAACCAAACACATCTGATATACTGTAAAGATGTTTAATTAGAGTAAGGTGGAAAAATTCTGATGCAAAACACTACAATGATGCTTGGCTGGATCCATTGACTGCTGCATTTTTAACTTCTGGAACTTTTAAGAGTTCCAGAAATTAGATTTTTTTTATATAAGAAATCTTACTGTTCTGGAAATGCCCTACAAGGAGGAGAATACGGACACATCACAGTAGACCACAAAAGTCCAGACAAAAAGATACGAATTACATCCTGTTGTTTGGGTAGAGATGAGGAAGGTCACTGACAAAGAACAGGTCAGCTTACAAAAATTGACAAAAATAATAGGGAAGCAGCACTGTGCTGCTCCGCTGCCAACGCTGGAATACAGGAGGTCCCTGCTTCAGAAGGTCACCTGGTCCATTGCCCATCATCTTAGGTAATCTTCCCCACTGAATGGTGCCCTGACAGCAAGCTGGACCCCAGGGGTCCTTTGGGTCTGCATCACACCCCACCTCACTCACTGCACATCCACCCTGGAGCCCGGCGAGTGATAAGCGGCCCACAGCCCCATCCTCAGAAACCCCCCTTTCCATAAATCCCATCCTTTCTTCTCTCCCTCCCCTCTTAGTCTTTGTCACCAAGACCCCCTACACAGTACCACACAGCGATGGGCTACAGCCTTTGGCCCCAGTAAATCACCCAAATACGTCATTCCCCGAGCGGAACTGACCAAGAAGGCCGACATTACGGCACTTTATAGCTACATATTGCTTAATCCATAGCAAAGTGAACCTTATTTTTCAGAACTGCATATGTACACACACAGACACACACACAGGTTTGTAATTATATCTTTGTGGGGACTCTCCATTCATTTCTATGGCGATAACTCTAATCACAACATGACGACCTTAACCCCTAACCCAGCCCTAACCTTAACCATAAGTAACCAAACAGAATGTGAAGACTTTGGCATTTTTAGTTTTTTTTTTAATCTTTGTGGGGACCTGAAATATGGTCCCCATAATGTCAAAATAACAGGTTTTAATTACATTTTGTCCCCACAATGTAATATAAACATAATTCACACACACACACACACACACACACACACACACACAGGCAGTACCTTCAGCTGCCCTCCTGGATTGCATTGGCCTGTGACTGATTATTTACTGGAGTGACAGGAGTTCATGGTTTGGGTCTCCTACCCCATAAACTACTGCCTTTGTTACTGGGGTTTATGATGAAAGCCTGTACCATAGTTCAAAATGGGGGGGGGGGGGTCTAGAGAGTACAGGACCCTCAATAAGCCATAAGGGACCGCCCAGAGGAAAGGTTTATCATGCATGACAAATTCACCACCATGAGTGACAGACTGTCTGTTAAATCCATCATTTACCTGAAGAACCACAGACAGGAAATTCAGGCAGCAGAGGTGAGGATTAGGTTACTTTTTGGGTTAAAAAATTACACTCATTTAAAGGTTTCTTGCTTAAGGAACCCTTGAGACCCTGTTAGATAAAAGCTCATCTTAGTTAGTTAAGTTTCTCCCTAGATGGACTGTTTTCTATACCAGACTCATATGTGCATAAAAACAACCGAAAATGAAGTCTCACTCATCTGCACACTGAATTACGGAGCAATTAAAATGTACTGGCTCAGTGGCGAGAGGCTGAGCTGTAAGTGTCATCATGGTAAGAGGTTGAGGGTGTGCTGGGCCAGACTGTCTTTAAATACCACAAACACTGCATATGGAAATGCAGTGGAGGGCTGATGCGTGACCCTAACCAAGCTAGAGAGCTTTGGACACACCTGACTTCCTGTCTGTCAGGAGCAAGGGCGGGCCCAAACGCCACCTGACACTTCTGATTGGCTGGAATGTGTTAACCACCCCAGTGTTCCTAAAGAGATCCACTCCAAACGTCTGCCCCCGTGTCACCCTCATACCCGCGTGTCACTGGCTCACCTGGTTGCAGGTGCTGATGTCCACACCACCTTTCAGGTACTCCAGCACCTTGTCGATGTTCCCCGCCCGCGCTGCTCGCAGGAAGCTGGTGTTGCTGTCCGACTGGAAAGCAGAATAAGAGGGAGAGGTGGAAACGTTAGGGGGGACTCTCATGCAGGGAAGGTGATTCTCCGAAACACCCAGAACTCTTTGTCATAGCAAAGCAGGGGCTTGCTTCGTTATCCTCATCACCAAACGAGCTCTGCTGGAGGTCCCGTGTGAAGGATAGTCTCGAACAACCAAAATGACCTACAGCACCCATACTTAATGCCATAACAGCTCTGGGGACACAAGCGCCTAGCACCCCCACTGGCCATCATCAATGCACAAAAAAATGCTGCTTCGCCATGAGAACCTCGCATGTGGACACCAAGGGCACAGCCCCGCAGCTGACTGGGATGGCCCAAACCAGCAGGGGCCACATTTAGCCCCCCCCTGAGAGCGGAGCAGGCAGAACTGGGCAGCAGCACACTCAGGGGACTACACCTGGGGGGTGGGGTGGGATGGGTTTAGGAAACACACAGAACCTCAAAAAATGCTCCCAAAAAAAACTACCGATCAAAATAAAGACCATGACCACAGCAGTAAAAATACCCAATAGGACTGTGGAGCACTTCTCAGCTTTATATAAACTCCTGCTTCCTCCGGTGTGTGACCCAGGGCTGATGGTTACGTAAGGAAAACAAACGCACCTCCACTGCAATAATCCCCTTGGACATGTTCGGGAACGTCACCCTGGGCGATGGGTGTGATTGGTGTCACTGCACAGGCATAGGAGCGTGACATCGGCTGTTCGTGCAAGATCGCAGGGATTTATAGGTGTGGGAAGATGGAAGGAAGCAGAATGGTAGTCCTTGGTGGTCAAGCCCCACCCACAGAGCCCCCGGTCCTTGGTGGTCAAGCCCCACCAACAGAGCCCCCAGTCCTTGGTGGTCAAGCCCCACCAACAGAGCCCCCGGTCCATGGTGGTCAAGTCCCATCCACAGAGCCCCCGGTCCTTGGTGGTCAAGCCCCACCCACAGAGCCCCCGGTCCTTGGTGGTCAAGCCCCATCCACAGAGCCCCCGGTCCTTGGTGGTCAAGCCCCACCCACAGAGCCCCCGGTCCTTGGTGGTCAAGCCCCACCCACAGAGCCCCCGGTCCTTGGTGGTCAAGCCCAACCCACAGAGCCCCCAGTCCGTGGTGATGAAGTTCAGCCCTCAGGCCTAGCCAGGGAGGGTGTCCAGCAGGCCAGTGGCCCAGCAGGTCAGGAACGATGCCCGAGATCAAGAAGGAACCCAAATAGGGTGCCACTATCTGAGGCAAGGACCGGAGCCAGGAGAGGGTCACGGCCCGGTCACAACAGCCTGAATTGAGCTCCAGTCAAAACGTATCTCGCACTCTCACACATTCACACACACACATTTGTATTCATATCTTTGTGAGGACTCCCCATTCATTTCTATAGGAAAAACTCTAATAGCAACAATGACAACCTAAATCCCTACCCAGTTCTAACCTTAACCATAAGTAACCAAACAAAATACAAGATTTTTGGCATTTTAAATTTTTTCATTGCAGTCACAGATTTACATAATTTTTTTAAATTGAGTTTACCCTTGTGGGGACCAAAAAGAATATCCCCACAGTGTCAAAATAACATGTTTTTATCACATTGTGGGGACGCACCACACTTTGTAGACCAGCAGATCTTCCATGATGAGCATGAACAGTGTATATCAAGAGCTCGAGAAGTTAGTCAGCTTCACCCCGCTCAGAGTCTCTGCTCAACCCGCCATCATCATTACTGCACAGAGTACCCTGAAGAGGAACCTGACAAACATGTTAGGAGACCGCTCGGAGACAGAATACACTTGTCAAGGCCTGACTAAACGATCTGTAGTGCCACTGATCGAGGGCAGTTTGTACTGCTCCCAGACCTTACATAACAATCCGCAGTACCACTGATTAAGAGCAGTCTGTACTGCGTTCAGACCTTACGTAATGATCCGCAGTATACCTGATTGAGAGCAGCCCGCTCTGCGTTCAGGCACGATATGACGAGCAGTGCAGAAAAACACACAGAGACACAGAGAGAGCTGCAGCCAATCAGGGGAAAGGAGGCAGCAGGGGGACGAATCGAGCTCTGCATTGTACCTCTAGTGGGCGTGGCCAGTCGGAGTGTTCCCAGACACGAGCCCTGTGGGGAAACCCCGTTCATGCACGTCACTCACACACCTCAGAATTCAGCCTCCTGGCTGCGTATTTACACAGACGCCAAGCAGAGGAGCTGATCACGGCTCACCTCCCAGATCGGCACGAGGAACAGCCATCTGCTCACCAAAATGCCCACCACAAGCGCCTAACGAAGTGTGCAGCTGTGACAGCACAAGTAAATGCACAGGAGTAAAAGCACAGGAGTAAAAGCACAGGAGTAAATGCACAGGAGTAAAAGCACAGGAATAAAAGCACAGGAGTAAATGCACAGGAGTAAAAGCACAGCAGCACAGGGATACGCCCGATATTCACAGCACGCTTACAGGGGGAAACAGGGCCCCTCGTGTAACATGCGATGAGTCAGGACCCAATTTGCACCTCCACAAGCCACCACACCCACACTCACAGCACAGGGACCCCCCCACGCACACCACGGACCCAGGGGGAAACAATCCTGCTTAAATATATGATAGGTGTAATCCCCCCTCAGTTCCATGACAGCCTGCTTTAAGTAATAAATCATGCAGCGTTCTCCACATATTACAACCCCCACCCCCCACCAGAGAGGCGTCATGCCGCCAGACCGCCTGTCTGCCCTCAGAGGAGCCGGGAGTACTCTGTGTGTTTTGGAAGGAGACACTAGCCGGATTGTTCTGGGCCACACTCCCGCCTTGCCTTGGTGACATCATTATACATAACCTTGTTTTACAGTATTAACATATAAAATTAATTAATATGAATTCATTAATTATGACAACACAAAACCCATAAACACAAACTCATGTAGTGGAAAATGTCCTTTTGTTTTGGAGGCGTCCCACGCGAATAGCTCTCCGGATTTCGGGGACCTCAGCCCCAGACGGGCACCTCGCCTTCACCACAAACCATTTTGTTTTCCCTCGAGTTATTTCTGGAATGTGAGACTCACAGGCACCCTGAGACGGCCTTCCTTGTGCCATCATGTCAGACCCACTGAGAGGCACAGAAGCAAAGGCACTCAGGCTTAATTACTTCAGGCAGGTACTTCAGTAAGAGTACGTTACTAAATTGCACCTCTTAACCCACTACATACAGCGGGATTTCACTCAGTATTTCTGATTACACACCAAGCCTTGTGCATGCTATCAACCCCTTAATGCAGGGGTGGCCAATCGTATCCGCAAAGGGCCGGTGTGTATGCAGGTTTTTGCTGCAACTCCCTAATTAGATTACTAATTAGAGGACTGATTGGCTGAAGAGTCCTCACACCTGGGTTTGAACATCTGACCTACAGGTTATCCCAAAAACCAGCACACACACCGGCCCTTTGCGGATAAGACTGGCCACCCATGTCTTAATGGGACTCTGACCACCTAGTCGTTGATCCACCCCTTGCTATCCACCTCCAACATGGGGAAATCATGGTGGGATAAGGACGTATCAAGTCATAAAAAGAGAAACGGTATCCATGACGTTTCCTTTCATTAGTTTGTGAAGAGATTTTTCTTCAAAGAACAGATCTCACTCCTTGGTGAATTTGCTAGCAGACAAAAGAAGGAGAGGTCTCACTCATTATCTGGATGCGAGACATGATTATCCCCTGAGCACGGAGCCTGAGACTGATCACGCGTCTGAGGAGCACGGGGCAGAATCTGGAGCTCCAGCCTGCTGGCTTAAAGATCACTTCCCAAGGTTGGGGGATAACAAGAACTCGTAAATAATGTACTGCGGCAAGATGAGCCAGGCAACCACAAGCATGCTTGGCCCCACCCGTCACCATGGAGACAGCCAATGGAGCCCCCCCTGCTTTTCCCTGATTACCTGCCCTACCCTCTGTCCTTGGAGACGCCCAACAGTTTCCTGTTCTGTACATCCCACGATACCTGGCTCTTTCCAGAAAGCGCTATGGTAAAGAGATTAAGGGAAGTATAAAACTGGTGTATTTTTAAAAGGTAAAGCACCGACATTTATGGGTAAACGGGGAAAATATTGCACATTGTAGTGTAGAGCTTCTGCAGGAACCTGAAGTGCCGTGTGTCGGTGAAGCTGCGGACACACCCAAAGATGGTCTCGGCTGGAGCTGAGCAGTGACACAACAGCCAGCCATCCGCTCACAGCAGCTGAGATGCGTGGGCACCTGCCTTAGGGCCGCGGGGTCCTGCCCCCGGGCGAGGATCTGATGGGCACCAGATGCTCAGAACTGTCTCTTATAGAGATCTTCTGGGGAAAGCTTAGTTAGTGGCAAGCTGGTGAATAATGCAAAACACACAGACACACAGACACACACACACACACACAAACTACTTTATCAGGCTTTTGTTCATTAACACACCACAGAGCTCTTAGCCAACACTGTTCCCTAACCATAGACTTCTGAGTAACAACAGATACAGTCTGTGCTAATAAAGAGGATTTCATACTGAGCAGACATGGGAATGAAGTCGCTACATGGGTACCCCCAGCGTACCCAGCATGCACCACTCCCATGTGCAGCAGCTCCCATGTGACCACACCCAAGTGGAGGAGTGCATCAGGCCGTTTTCAGGAATGGGGCGATCAGAAAAAGCATTTCCAGGACAAAAACACAGTGCTTCCTGATCAGCATTAGGAAAAAAAAAAAAGAGGCAAAAACCACCAAACCGCCAACGACAGGGGGGTCAGTGAAGGACAAACCGTGTGATTTCCTGTCTGCAAACTCACAGATCAGACACACACCCCTGCAGAGAGAGATGGGCACTAGGCGAGCACCGGGCACAGAGATGGACACCAAGCAGGCATCAGACACAAAGACAGGCAGCAGGCGGGTGCCGAGGACAGAGACAGGCACCAGGCGGGTGCCGAGGACAGAGACAGGCACCAGGCGGGTGCCGAGGACAGAGACAGGCACCA